ATCCCAGAGTCATGGAATTCCAGAGGGGCCTGGCTGGGAAGGCACCTTAAACTCCATCCCATCCCATCCCATCCCATCCCATCCCATCCCATCCCTCAATCCCATCCCATCCCATCCCTCAATCCCATCCCTCAATCCCATCCCTCAATCCCATCCCTCAATCCCAGCCCAGCCCAGCCCAGCCATGGCAGGGACACCTCCCACTGTCCCAGGCTGCTCCATCCCCATCCAGCCTGGCCTTGGGCACTGCCAGGGATCCAGGGGCAGCCCCAGCTGCTCTGGGCACCCTGTGCCAGTGTTGTTCCACCCTAGGAAGGGATTGGAAAGGCTGGGGCTGCCCTTGCAGCAGCTGCAATCCCACCCAGAGCAGTGACAGGACACAGAGCTGGGTTCACAGCTGACCTCGAGTGTTCCGGTGGCCTCTGGACCCCCCCAGCCTCACGGTGTCCCCACATTTATCTGCTCCTCCAGACTCCACTGCTGCTCTCTGCAGTTTATCAGCTGCCAGCTCTCAGCAGCTATCTCACAGCACAGGCTCCAACGGGAAACGCTTCCCCACCCGTCCCAAGCACCGGGCAGGGAGCAGAGCCCAGCCCTGAGCACCAGAGGTCTGGGTGCCTCCAGACCAGGCTGAGGGCTGTGCTGGAATATGGAATACTGTTTGCAGAAGTACTGGGTTTTTTCCCCTCGGAGTGCCCTGCTGTGGCTGCCCCATCCCAGGACGTGTTCAGGACCACGCTGGACGGGGCTTGGAGCAGCCTGGTGCAGTGGGAGGTGTCCCTGCCTGTGCCAGGGCCTCAGTGCCCTCAAAAGAGAAGAATTCCTCTGAATTTCCCACCTAGCCCTGCCCTCCAGCACTGGGAAGCCGTTCCCCGTGTCCTGTCAGCCAGGCCCTTGCAGAAGCACTTGGATCCATGGATAAGGTCCCTGTGAGCCGTCTTTTCTCCAGGCTGAGCAGTCCCAGCTCCCCCAGCTGTCCTGCCCAGGGGAAGCTCCATTTCCCGCAGGGCCAGGGCTGGAGATCCATTCCCAGGAGGAGGAGGTGGCCGGGGAGGGCAGAGCCCAGAGCGTAGCAGGGACCCCCGAGGGCAGCTCTGCCCCCACGCTCAGCCAGGGGCTGGGTTCTGCAGGAAAAGCTGCCTGGAGGTGTCCTGGGGCTCGCTACATGCCGACATCCAGGTTTAGGAAGGAGACGCTGCTGTAGAGCCCCGAGGACACCGAGCCCCGCTCCAGGCTGCGTGTCCAGCCGGGCGCGGCGGACGGAGCCTGCTGCTCCCTGCCATCCTCAAGATCTGGGCTCCTGAGGGAGCAAAAAAAGACAGAGAAGGGCTGTTTGCAAATGCTTCTGCTGCCTTCTGCGCTCCCAGACGGGCTCCAACAGTGATCCCAAGGATCCCAAGGATCCCAAAGACTGCCGTCTCCAGACAGTCCCAAAAGGAACGTGAAGCAGACAAGGAGCTGTGCAGAGATCACAAAACCCTGGGTTTGGGCTGGAAGGACTTTGAAGACCAGCTGGTCCATGGGCAGGGACACATTCCAGCAGACCAGGCTGCTCCAAGCCCCATCCAAACTGGTATGGAAGTGACCTGTGGGCCAGGAAAACCCTTCCCACAGGACAATTCCTGTTTGCTGAGGAGTCACCAGCTCCACTGAAGGCTCCTGAGCATCTCCTGCTTCCCAGGATCCCTGGTTGCCAACCATTCCCTGCTTCCAGCCCCGGGAGCAAACCCCTCCTGCAGTGTGTGCTGGACCCAGCTCGGGGGACACGAGGTCCTTCCAGGCAGGGAAGGGCCCGAGCTGCAGCTCCAGCCCCCGAGGGAGCTCCGAGGGGTGGGAAGGATGGAGCAGGGAGGGTTTTTCTGTGGATCCCGTGAGCAGGGAGCTGTGTGGAAGATGAGCAGGGAGCTGTGTGGAAGATGAGCAGGGAGCTGTGTGGAAGATGAGCAGGGAGCTGTGTGGATGATGAGCAGGGAGCTGTGTGGAAGATGAGCAGGGAGCTGTGTGGATGATGAGCAGGGTGTGTTGCCACTCGTCCCTGCACCCCTCGGAGCCCCTGGGGCACTCACGGCAGGTCAGGGAACTTCCTGCACAGCAGGTACTCGATGACATCGGGGTCTGTCTGGAACAGCCTCCTCAGCACGTCCCACTGCATCTCTGGGGACACCTGGGGGGACACAGCCGCATCACTCACCCGGCTCAGGCTGAGCACAGAGAGCCGAGGAAGGAGCCAGGACATGGTCACAGACCCGGTGTGCTGGTGTCACACCCCACACACCCCCCAGGGCCTGCAGGATCTCAGCCCCTGCTTTCCCACCACTATCCCCAGTCCTTTGCTCCCTGCAGACCCCCAAAATCGCTGTAAGTTTTTGTTTGGGGGACCTGAAATGTCACATCCCGAGGGGACTCTCAGTGCTGCCTGCAGTGGGAGGGTGGAGAGAGGATGGAGAGAGCCAGAGCCTTCCCAGAGGATGGGCTCAGACCAAGGTGTGCACCTCTGGCAGGGACAAAATCCTTCCCCTGCTGCTCTCAGAAGAGTTCAGAGGGAAGGAGGGTGTGGGGGAGCTGCCCTGAGGAGCCCACGTACCATGAACAGGGAGTGGTGGTGCTCGATCAGCCTCTGGAGCACAACGATTATGGCAGCACTGTCCTCAAAGTTCAGGCCACCGGCATCTTTCTCTCCAGGCTTCTCCTTCTGCAGGATGTTGGGACCAAAGACCGTAGCCAGGTTTGACACTGTCATTTTATTCCCAGGGATCTGCAAGGAGGCACAAAAGGAACCTGTGGGCTGTGGATGCTGTGGTGTGGGATGTCCCAGGATGTCCTCAGCCACCCCAGGGCAGGAACACGAGGGTGAGGTGAGGGCCAGATGTTGCTCCTGGTCCAGTTTGGTCCTCTCTGAGCTGGTGGCAGGGCCAGCACGAAGGGTTTGAGGTGCTGGAGCCACACACTCATCCCATCCCCACCTGCCTCACCCTCCCACCTTTTCCAGCCACAACGATCCCGGGATTCCCTGAAGGATCTGATTTTCCCCAAAGGCCGAGGATCTGTTCTCCCCTCTGCAGCAGCCTCACCTCGCGGCCCTCGGGGTCCCAGGAGCTCTGGGCGTGCTGGGCCACCCGGGCCAGGAAGCGCAGGAGCCGGAGCAGGGTGTCGCTGTGGCACGGGGGCAGCAGGAACAGCAGCAGCTGCAGCGTGTCCAGTTGGGCTGGCCCCTCCATGCCTGCATGGAGAGCACAGCTGGGACTCAGGCTCCCTCCTCTTCCTCCTCCTCCTCACCCTTGGGAACGAGCTCTGCTGGCAGCCAGGCTGCTGCCCCACCCCTCATCCCAAGGGATGGAGAGCCCCACGAGGGTGTTGGATATTGCACAGCCCCACTGCCAAAGACTGTCCTGGACCAGAGGGATTTTTGTAATCCAGTTCCAAAGAAATCAAACAAAACCCCCAGAAAAACCCCAGGTTACGGTAACTGCACATGGCAGCGCCAGGGAGCACAACACCCATCCCATGGATCCCATCCCATCCCATCCCATGGATCCCATCCCATCCCATGGATCCCACCCCATCCCATGGATCCCATGGATCCCATCCATCCCATGGATCCCATCCCATGGATCCCATCCCATCCCATGGATCCCACCCCATCCCATCCATCCCATCCCATGGATCCAGTTCCAAAGAAATCAAAGAAAACCCCCAGAAAAACCCCAGATTATGGTAACTGCACATGGCAGCACCAGGGAGCACAACACCAATCCCATGGATCCCATCCCATCCCATCCCATGGATCCCATCCCATGGATCCCACCCCATCCCATGGATCCCATGGATCCCATCCATCCCATGGATCCCATCCCATGGATCCCACCCCACCCCATCCCATGGATCCCACCCCATCCCATGGATCCCATCCCATCCCATCCCAGGGGCTCTGGAGGGTGCTGAGGAAGGCCCCGTTCCTGGCAGTGTCCCAAGGCAGGCTGGCCAGCCCTGAATGTCACATCCCAGCCTGCCCAGGTGACAGGTGCCCGGGGGATCTGGGGCACAAGCCCTGCTGTGCAGGCTCTGCCCCACAGGTGCTCACTGGCTGTGCTCAGGAAGGCTCCGTAGAGCTCTCTGGGAATCAGGGAATCGGGCATATCCCGGAGAAACTCCTTGAGCAGGGCAGCCACATCATGAACACTCTGATGCTCATCCAAGAAAACATCCAGCCCTTGATCGAAATCCTCCCTCAGCTTGGAGATGGAAGAAAGGGGAAGGATGAAAACCACAGTCAGTTTGAGTCTGAAGAGACCCCTCCACACCAATGTCAGCTCTATCCATCCCCACCAACTCCAGCCCTGGCAAGGCTCAGCCAGAGGCTGCAGGGAATGTCCCCCTTTACCTGCTGGACTCTTTTCCTGGAGCTCCCGACACGGAAGATGCCGACAGTTTGGAGCCCTGCGGGACAGACAAGTCAGTGCTGGCAATGCCCACGGCTCCCTGCCTCCCCTGCCAGGGCTTCTCCTGCTTGCCTGGCCCTTCTCCAGGCAGGAAGAAAAGGAAAGGCTGTGGACATTCCCTCCTCGGTGACATTCCCAAGTCACTGACATTCCCAAGTCACTGACATTCCCAAGTCACTGACATTGCCTGCTCACTCACATTCCCTCCTCACTCACATTCCCAACTCACTCACATTCCCTCCTCACTCACATTCCCTCCTCACTCACATTCCCTCCTCACTCACATTCCCCTCTGGTGCTGCATCCAAGCCAGAGCACTCTTCACGGAGGTTTTTTGGGAGCTGCCCTGCCCCAGGACTCACAGAATCGTTCAGGTTGGGAAACAGCTCCAAGAGCATCGAGTCCAACATTTGGTGAGTGCCACGGTTCCATTAAACCAAAGGGTGCCTCCTCCCACCTTGGGGGTGGCCAGAGAGCCTTGGGGATGTCCTGGGAGCTTTTCCAGCCCTTACCGTGTGTCTCCAGGTGTGTGCAGCACCTGTCCACGATCCGTGGCACCTGCCAGGTGATGGGGTTCAGGCTCAGCTGCTTCTTCTTGGCGCGGCTCCTGCGAGGGTCCAGCTCGTGGGGGTGTGAGAGCTGCAGGGCCTCCAGCAGCTCGGACGCGTTGTCACTCAGGTCCGTGATGGAATCCACGGACATGGCCCCCTGCCGTGTCAGGAACGACCCCACAGATCCATCACCCACGGCTTTCTGGGACAGGGCAGCGACCAGAGCCACCCCAGCCATGGCAGGGACAGCTCCCACTGCTCCAAACTGCTCCCAGCCCCAGTGTCCAACCTTGAGCACTGCCAGGGATCCAGGGGCAGCCCCAGCTGCTCTGGGCACCTGTGCCAGGGCCTCACCTCCCTCATGGGGAACAATTCCTGCCCCATATCCCACCCAGCCCTGCCCTCTGGACCCTTAAATGTCACCCTGCTGAGGATGCTCCCACTCCTCACCATCCATGGGGACATCATCATTTCCCTGAGGACAGACCGGGACCAACCCAGCCACAAGAGAGCACCCTGGAAAATCCCATTTATTGCTGAATTCCCACTTCCCCATCCCACAGCACCGCCCTAGCCCGTTCTGGGGCCCATACCCTGCGCTGGCTCCAGGAGCTCTTGTCCAGGAGAGCCGGGCAGAGCGGCTCCTCTGGGAAGCCGCCGTGGGGAGCTCGGATGCAGCTGCTGCCCATCCCCGTCCTCCTGTGCCTCTGAGCGCGGAACCTCGTCACCGTGGCCTCCACCTGCAGGCACAGCCGGCGGCTCCTGCCCACGGCCTCCTGCAGCTGCCGGCACGCGCGGTCGTGGGCAATGACCTGGCACAGCGGCACCCCGAAGGTGTGGGGAGAGCAGTCTGGGGAGACACCGGAGCCAGGGACAGGCTGGGGGAGCTGCTGTGCTCGGGGTCCTGCCCCCAGGAGCTGGGAAAGGCACAGGGAGCTGCTCCTGGAGAGCAGGAGATGATGGAGATGATGGAGAGCAGGAGAGCCTGGTGAGCCTCCCTCCAGTGCTGGGAGCCTGGGTGCCAAAGAGCACCAGGAGGGCACAGTGTGGGAAATGGGGTGCTGCTGGGGGAGAGGAAGGGGACACACGGGACTGCTCTCCTGCAGCTTGCAGCTTGTTGGAGCCTGTCCCAGTTTTTCCTGCAGTTTCTTTCCTTCCTTTAACTGGCTGCAGCCCCACGAAGATGCCGTGGCATCTGTGAAGCAACAGCTTCAAAAATCACCGAAAGATCCTCTCCGGGTTCGAACCTCCCATTTTCTACAGGGTTTGTCTCAGCTACGTCTGCTCAAGAAAACTCCTGCTCTTAGTGGTATTTTCCCCAGATAACTGCCCCTCTCCATCCCCCTGGCAAGGAGGGTTCTCCTCACCCCAGCCTTGCGCTGCCCTGGGGTTTTACCCCAAACCCTTTCAGTAGAACCTGAGGCCTCGGTGTCAGGAGTCTCCCTGAGCAGGTTTTGTGCTGGTGTGGGGAGCTCTGAGTAAAACCTGAGGCATCGATGTCAGGAGTCTCCCTGAGCGGGTTTTGTGCTGGTGTGGGGGGCTCATTCCCACCTGGCTCTGCTCCAGGGCTCTGTGTGCCCCAGGGCTGGCACTGAGGTGCTCCAAGGGACGATAAAACACAGCTGGGAGCAGCGGGGTTGGGGAGAAACGGGCAGCTGGACACATTTCCAGGCGTTCACCTTGAAAATGCATTTCACTTTCCAGGTATTCCACACACCTTTCTGTGCCTGCCAGGCTCCATCACCGTGCCATCCCAAAAACAGCAGAACAACCTGGGATGAGGTGTCCTGCTGGGCTTGGGCACCTCCCACCCACCCAGGGACCAAAGGACAGGCAAAAGGGAGGCTGCTCACCTTTCCTCTCCTTGGAGAAGCTCTCCAGCTTCTGCCGGATGGATTTAATGCCTTTGGAGACATCTAGGGGGAGAAGAGAAGGGGAAGGTTCAGCACCAGATCCTGGGGCTGGTTCAGCACAGGCTCCCTGTCCCTCTGCAGCCACCAGCCAGGGGACACTGCAGTGACAGCCACAGCCCCGGGGGATCCAGGAGTCCCTGGGGATCCAGGAGTCCCTGGGACACACGTGGGCAGAGCTGCCCAGGGAGCAGCTCTGGAGATGGACATCACTGCCTGGGGATAGCCCTGGAGATGGACATCACTGCCTGGGGACAGCCCTGGAGATGGACATCACTGCCTGGGGACAGCTCTGGGGATGGACATCACTGCCTGGAGCAGCTCTGGGGATGGACATCACTGCCTGGGGACAGCTCTGGGGATGGACATCACTGCCTGGAACATTCCCAGAGAAGGGCTCTGTGGCTCCACACAAGCGGTGAGGCCCAGAAAGGCCTTTGGGAAGGTTTTACAAAGCACAGACGTAAAAAGTTTTACCAAACAGCACCAGAAATCCCACCCTGCTCTGGAGGACTCCCACCTCACATCCAGCAGCAGTGAACTGAGAATTCACCCACTGCCCACCCTAAATCCTTCCAGGACACATCACCCTGTTCTGGCTCATGCTCCTCATTCCTGAGGAGTTCTCTCCCCAGGAATAGCTTCTCTCTGCCTGTTTGGGTTATTTTGTAAGGCTTAGAGGAAAGCTCTGACAGCTGGAATGAGGAACATGAGTGTAGAAGCCAACATAAATTATCCAGCAGCACACTGCCCAAGCAGGAAGGAAATATTGGGGTTTGGGGTTTTTTTTGGCACTGCCCTGGTCCCTAGGGGGACTACTGCTGCAGGGTGTCGCTGCAAGGGGGATCACAAGAGTCCAAAATGAAACAAAATAAAAAAGGAATCAGGATGTTTGTGGTCAAAGCCCTCCAGGGACTGGTGCTGCGGCCCTGGAGCAACTGGGAGCTCTGGGAAGGAGAGGGGAGCTGTGCTGGACTCCTCACGAAGCTGTTTCATGGCACCAAGTCTTTGGGGTGTTAAGATGGGAAAGTAAAGGTGGGTGTGACCTGAAGCACTCGGTGCTCAGTGTGAGGCTGGGCACTGGGGGAGAGGATCCCTCACACCTGGGGCCTCCATCCTGCCCTGGGGTGCTGCCAGGGGGGCTGGAGACCCCCAGGCTCCCTCTGCACCCCCAGCCCCTGCCCTGCTGGGATGGCCCAGGGCAGAGGAGGCACATCAAGAGGGTGAGAAGTGAATGTGGGAAGGAGTCTTGGAACCCCAACTCCCTGGGTTTGCTGATGGGGGACACAGGCAGCCCTGGGAACCCTGACAGGGCCTCTATGCTCGGTTCCTGTGGAGCTCCTAAATTTATCCACCCTTAAATATCCCAGGGCATTATCCACCCTCCCATGAGCCCCTGTCCAGCGTGGGGACTTAGTGCTGGACACGGATCCAAATCCCATCCAGCCCAAGGGCGCTGGGACCATCCCAAGTTGTCACATCTGGACCGGGGCTTGGAGGGTCACGTTCTCACACTGCTGTGGACACGCAAACCACGGGCTGGTCAGGCCTCTGGGGCTCAGAATAAAACAGGAATGAGAAATAAATCAGACCAGAATGTGTCACTAATGTCTTTCCATATCCATCATCCCGAGCTGGGGCACAGGGGGAGCAGCGTGAAGGAATGGTTCAGGAGCCTCCTGTCCCCTCCTGTCCCTCCTTTCCCAACCTGTCCATCCTGTCCAACCTGTCCCCTCCGGTCCATCCTGTCCTTCTTGTCCATCCTGTCCCTCCTGTCCCCTCCCCTCCCTCCTGTCCCCTCCCCTGCCGTGCTCTGTACCTCTGGCCAGGCTGAGGTGTCCCCCGGGCAGCCTCTCCTGCAGCCTGAACAGCGCCAGTTCCTGCAGACTGGCCCTCTCCAGCTCGGACAGGCTCTGCAGGGCCACGGGCTCCATGCCAGGGCTGGAGCAGAGCCAAAGGCGCTCTGGAGAACACACCTGTGTGAAGGGAACACGCGGCAGCGAGACCTGCTTTAGGAGAGGAACTGCAGGGAGCCTCTGCAGGGGACATTTGTCCCTCTGTCACCTCTCCAGAGAGCCAGGGGGCTGCAGATGCCCCAACCACATCATCTCCCTCCAACCTCCTGAGCAAAGGCCTTGGAGGCACCAGGAGAAGAGATTTAGGTTTGATTTTGGGCAGGAATTGTTCCTGGGAGGGTGGACAGGCCCTGGCACAGGAGCCCAGAGCAGCTGGGTTTGCTCTGCCCTGGAGGTCCATGGCCAGGTTGGACAGGACTTGGAGCAGCCTGGGCTGGTAGGAAATGTTCCTGCATGGGAGGAGATGAGCTTTAAGCTCCCTCCCAAGCCAAGCAATTCCACAATTCTGTGATTTATCCCCTTTAACTCATAAAGAGCTGCACACGGCCAGGGCTGCCGAAGCCCCTCACCGCAGGCTCCGGCTGGACAGCCCATGGACACACCCCGGCCACCCCAGCTCCTCTCCCAGAGCTCTGGGGAGCCCCCCTGTTGTGTGCAGGCTCTGGGGAACCCCCACAGGGACCTGGGTCCCCACCCCACACTGACCTGGCTGCCTCCAGCCCAGTGCCACCTCCTGGTGCCACCTGTGCCCGGCACGGTCCAAAGAGCAGCCCCAGGGAGAGGACAGGGCTGGGGTCAGAGTACGGGCTCTGGAAAGAACCTCCCCGAGGAGGCTTAAGGCAAGAATGAAAAATAAATGCCTGGAAGTCTCAAGGGATGAGGGTGAGACGCCCAGGAAGGGACAGGGCTCCTGTGTCAGTCTCTGCCTCCCCTCTCCAGCCCCTGAGACTGCTTCCTCTGGCCAGGTTTGAAATTTCAGTTTCTAAAGGTGTTTAGAAAGTTACATAAATAAAAAAATAAAAGAGTTGCTCAGAGTTCCCTGTAAAGGCACGCTGAAAAGGGAACTCAGCCACATCACAGAACCCCACACTGGTTTGGGTTGGAAGAGACCTCACAAACCATCTCATTCCCCTGTCATGGGCAGGGACACCTTCCATGATCCCAGGTGCTCCAAGCCCTGTCCAGCCTGGCCTTGGGCACTGCCAGGGATCCAGGGGGCAGCCCCAGCTGCTCTGGGCACCTGTGCCAGGGCCTGCCCACCCTGCCAGGAATTCCTTCCCAACATCCCATCTGTCCCTGCCCTCTGGCAAATCAAAGAGGAACAATGCAGGGATTTTTAAAACTTCCATCCTGCTCCCCTGGCACAGCCCAGGGCAGGAAACTCCTTGGCTGTCACAGGTGAGAGAGAACATCTCCACAAGGCAGGGACAGCTCCCGGCCTCTGCTGGGGAGGGAGGGATGTGGGATGGATGATGGATGGATGGATGATGGATGGATGGATGGATGGATGATGGATGGATGATGGATGGATGGATGGATGGATGGATGGATGGATGGATGGATGATGGATGGATGGATGATGGATGGATGATGGATGGATGATGGATGGATGATGGATGGATGATGGATGGATGATGGATGGAGGGATGGATGGATGGATGGATGGATGGATGATGGATGGATGATAGACGGATGGATGATGGATGAATGATGGATGGATGATGGATGGATGATGGATGGATGATGGATGATGGATGATGGATGGATGGATGGATGAACACAGACACACTGCAGGGAATTACCTTGGTGCAGGTGAAGCTCCACACTCCAGAAGGGTCCTGGGGGATGAGGGGGAGGAGGAATCCCAGTCAGGAGAGGGAGCAGCAGAGGGAAGGCAGCGAGGAGAGGACAGGGAGGAAAAGCCCGGACCAGCTGCTGTTTATCTGCCCAACCGCAGGAGCCACTGGAGGAGCCCCGTGATGTCCCAGCACCGCTGGTGCTGCCAAAGCCCATCCCACAGGAGCTCACCCCAAACACCTGCCCTGCTCCTCACCCCAGCTGTGGATTCACATCCCTGGAAACAGCTGAGATGGCACCAGCACCAACGAGCCACAGGAACAGCAGCAGCAGCAGTGTGGGTGTCCTGGCAGGGACAGGGATCAGTGATCCCAGCAGGGAACAGGGACAGGGATCAGTGATCCCAGCAGGGAACAGGGATGGGTGATCCCAGCAGGGAACAGGGATGGGTGATCCCAGCAGGGACAGGGATCAGTGATCCCAGCAGGGAACAGGGGTGGGTGATCCCAGCAGGGAACAGGGATCAGTGATCCCGTGGGACAGGAGAGCTCGCTCAGCCTGGACAGGCACCAGGCTCCCCACAAGGAAGGAAATGTGTGCCCACAGCAGGGACAAAGCCAGAGCCCCACAGAAATCCTCCTTTGGAGGGGATGCTGGAGCAGGAATCTCACTGAGTCAGAAACACAAGTGGGTTATTTCAGGAATCTCCCAGGGAAAGCTCAGTCCAGCTGCCCCCTCCATTCCCAAGGAGCAGTGGCTGCTCCCTCGGTTTCAGCTGCAGTTTCTCTCCTCCCAGCTGGAGCTAAGGGCCCACATTTACCTTGCCCGTGTCCTCCGGCAGCAGCAGCAGCACCTCCTGGAGCTCCCGGCTCTCCCTTTGGGCTGATGGTTTTCACAGCCGAGTCTCCTCAGCCCACAGGCAGCAGGAGAAGAGGGGAAGTGATGGGAAGGAGCTGCCACAGCCGAGGGGAGGAGAAAGGGGATGAGAATGTGAATTTTCTGCCAAAGAAAGGAGAGCCAGGAACAGCGTGTGGAGAGAGGGCAGGGCTGGATGGAAGGGACCGCGCTTCCCACGCTGGACACGGAGCCATTGCTCAATCCCCTCCAGCCTCAGCTCTCCCAGCTGCCATCCATGGGCAGCCAGGACACCCTCAGCTGGGCAGGCAGCTGCAAGCTGGGCTGGGACGTGCTGCCTGGGCCGGCTGCTCCCACCCAGCTCTCCGTGAGACCCTCCTGGTGCTCCTCCAAAGCCTGAGGGTTTGTCCCAGCCCTGCCCCGTGTCCAGCAGGGTCTGGCACAGCCAGGGCTCTGCAGCTGAGGAGCTCACAGACCTCACGGTGTGGATCTACAGCTCAGGTTGTTCCCACAGGGTTACAGACCTTGCAGAGCCTCCCAAACCTCCACCAACACCCAGACTGGCACTTTCTTGCCAGTTAACACCCATGAGCCCCCTGGGGGCCACAGCCAGGCTCCCAGCCCATGGTCATGGAGTGGTTTGGGCTGGAATGAGAAAGAAAGCAGCTGGGCCAAGATCTGCCCATAAAAAATGTTTATTCCTTAAAAATACAGCATTCATCTGCAGGGACACAACTATTGAGAACATGTTTTTAAAGGGTTTCTATCTGCTCCCAGTGCAGCAAGCGCTCAGTGTTGGGAGCAGGGAGAGCAACAGCCCACGAGGGGTCCCAGGGGAAGGTCCCTGTCACCTGTCCCTGGGTGCCACCTCAGCAGCCCATCTGCAGGATGGATTCTCCTGGGAGAAACCTCAGCCCCTCTGGGAAGGCCCTGGGAGACGGGAGGCAGCAGGACCCCAGGGTGCTCGAGCCCTGACTCACTGTCACAGCACCAGCCACTGCTCCTGGTCCTGGCTCCTCTCCCTCCTGCTGCCCCATGGAACAAACTGCCCGCTCTCTGCAGCAGCCCCAGCCCCCTCAGCCCCCCGGGAGGGGGCTCTGGCTGCCCACAGAGCCCCGGCCCAGCTTGCAGCCCGCAGGCAGCAGGGGCTGGGAGCCAGCGAGTCCCGGAGCCCCAGCCCACCCAGCCCTCGCCTTCCCTGACTGCGGCTGCTCCAGCCACGGCTGCCCTCGGGGCTCTGGAGCCGTCCTGATTCCTCCAGTTCCTGCCCTGGTTTCCCCAGGATGGCTCTCACTGAGTACACACCCCCTGCCCTCCGCCCTGGCTGACCCCAGGGACAGGTGGCATTGCCACCTTCCCACCTCTGAGACCGTGCTAGGCTCTGCCAGGGACAGCAACAACGAGGAGGAGGAGGATGGTTCATCTGGGCTGGGGGAAGAAGGTGCAGGAAGAAATCCAAGAGATCTGGAGAGACCCCGGGGCCTTGGGATGAGTGGGGAAGGGAGGAGGAGCACAGGGAGTGTTCTCTCCCCCAATGGTGAGAGGAGAAGCAGAGCCAGCAGGTCAATTCCTGGCTCCAAGCCTGGTGTCACTGGTGGAATTTTGGGGTTTTGGATGAGGAATTGGTTCACACAACACCAGGTGTCTGTGCCAGATACACAGAACCACCAGAAACATCCCTGTACTCTCCTGGGCACCACCTTGGCCATGGCACAGGGTGAAGCACCTGGCAGGATGACAGCGGGGCAGGGGACACGTCAGGAAATGCAACTGGGGCTTCTCCCCCAAAGATGAGGTGGGATCTACAGCCCAAGTGAAGGGCACCAACACCTGGGGCATGGGGAACAAGCAGGAGGGGCTGGAGCTGTGCCAGAGCGCTGGGATCACTCTGGGATGTGCAGGATGGTGTGGGGGATGATGCAGGAGCTCTGCAGGGCTGGCTGTGAGCAGGCTGGGCTGGGCTGCACCTCTGAGACCTGGCTGAGAGCCTGGCATGCACTGGGAACACGGGAACTGTGCTGGGAAGGTTCAGGAGCAGAGGAGTCTGTGCTGCTTGAACTTGGTCTCCAACGCAAAGCAGGTGGAGCTGGGTGGTAAAAATCACCAAAAGCCAGGCTGATGTAGCTCTGCTCCACCCACATCCCCAGAAAATCAATGTAAAAGGTTCTGTACAGACTGACCCAGAGCACGAGTGGCACTGCCAGAATCCCCCTCTGCCCCCACCTCAGCTCAACTTCTAACAGAGAAAACAGCACAAAAAACAACCAATTCCTTGGCTCAGAGGCCCCTGAGCCATCCAAATCTTCTGTTTAAACATACCTTGGTTTTTACTCACAGAAATATCTAAAAAATGCCTTTTTTTTCCCCTTTTGGTGATCTAGAAAGCAGAAGATGCCCCTTTGTTATTGGTTCAGGACAGTCTGTGGCTGTTCCTAGCAGAAGGAAGGCTGAGGAGGAGGAATTTGGGCACACAAGCACATACAACATTGGCAGAACACAGAGTCGACACGCTGTGCTTCAAAGGGTCAGGTAGGAGCTTTTCCCCAAATATATTGAACAGCACTTGCCCATTAACAAATAACTGATCAAAGGAGCTGCAGAACTTGGAGGTTCTTCCAGTGGTGCTCTGGACTTGGTTTCACTTTTACTCTTTGTTACCCAGGGCCATGGTGGGAATGGCAGGAGCAGAGGGAGGAGCATCCCGGCTTTCCTCAGCATCCCTATCCCGCTGCTTCCAGCGAGAAGTCAAAGCTCAAGTCATTTTCAACCCATCAAAGCCACAAAACTTCCACCTCTTCTCCAGGCTGGCCCCGACCCCACTGAGCTCCTGCCGGAACGTGTTCTGCAGTCGCGTCATGAGCACTTCCACCTCGGCCGTGCAGATCTGTGCCAGCACAAAGGAAACAGGACTCAGGGTGGGGATGGAAGCCCTGGAGGCTGCTGATAACTCAGACTCAAATAGTTACATGGCTGGAGTTCATCCAGGCTTTCCTGGGGCAGCAGGAGCTGTGTCCAACAGGGCCAAGAGCTGAGGAGGAACCCGAGGTCCTGCCTAGCCACACTCAGGGCCACAGGCAGCTTCTGAAGGGCTCTTCCATGACTCCAAACCACCTTGGATCTTAATTTTTGTGCTCTCTGCTGACCACCTTGGTGAGAATGACAGACAGGGAACAGGGGAAAAAATATTCCCCTTCCCTTCCTGTCAGCAGCTTCAAGAAACCTGGTTGTATTCTAAGAACTCCCCCTCCTCCTGCCTCACCTCGGGCCCAAAGACCTGCTCAGGGTTAAAAATAACATCCCAAACTCATCTGAGCTCCTGCAAGAGTCAAGGAGGAGACAGAAGATCTCGGAAGGAACACAAAGGACAAGGGGAACAGCCCTGAGCAGGAGGAGACTGATGCCATAGCACAGGTTTAAGGGTGGGCTCTCCCAAGGAGAACCTTCCAGGAGCCTTCTCTGCTCCGTGGATACCAAAAAGGAAGCTCCAGAAGGCAGCTGAGTGCTATGATGGCAGTTTTACAGGAGCTCCAAACCAAAATAAAGGCAGCTGGTGGCCCCACAGACAAATTCCAAGCTAGAATGAGATAAAAATTAACTCATAAAGATAAGGCTGGAGTGAGCCAGGGCAGTGAGCCACGTTTTCTTAGGAAAGGGTAAATTAAACACTGAGTTATAAACACAAGCAGCTGGATAAGTTCCAATCCCAACACAGGATTCCCATGTGGGGCCTCCTGTCCCTGGGGCTCTTTAAGGAAGAGAGCTGGAGACCAGGATAGAGCAGAATGAGATGTGATTCCTTCCTACATCCCGGAGCCTTTGCATAGCCGCTCCCATTTACTCCAGAAAGGAGCACAAGGGGCACAGGAGAACTTGGGGATGTGGTTAGTGGTGGACCCCAAAGCTGGGCTTTGGCAACCTGGGACAGTGGCAGGTGTCCCTGCCCATGGCAGGGCAAAGAACTGGATGGGCTTTGAGGTCCCTCCCAGCACAAACCATCCTGTCATCCAGAAATCCACCCCAGCCCTGGTCCTCTTGCAGCAGATTTCTGCAGGGAGCAGAGCCCAGGTGTCCCTGTGCAGCCCTAGCTGGCCCACACCCACCTTGCTGTCCAGGCGCTGCAGGTAGGAGCAGATGTACTCAATGCTGGCCCCAAAGGGATGCACGTGGAGGAAGGTTGAGATTATCCCTGGGGAAAGGAACAGCACGAAGGTCACTGCCACCAGACAGAAACCAGCTGGGAAGCCCAGCCCCGTGCCCCTGCAGGCAGCCAGGTGTCACGAGGTCACACCCTGAGCCCAGCAAAGCTCCAGGTTTCCCTCAGCCCCAGGATTCCCACCTCCCCTGGGCTAACCACAGGAGCCAGGGGTGGGCAGGAGGAGGGCAAGGTCCCCTCGGAGCAGAGCCCCCAGCTCAGGGCACCAGCACCACCAGCAGAACCCACCAACTAAGAGAACTTCTCGTTCAGATTTCACAGGGCTGTTGCTCAAGGTCTTCTCCGCCGGACATTCCTTCTCCTGGCTGCAGGCACAGACTCGGGACGTGCTGCTCTCCTGCAAAACAAACACCCAGGGCACGTTCCAGACAGCCTGGCACAGCTTGGGCAGGCTCCACAGGGCTGTTCTGGTTCTCAGAGTCCCTGCAGCCTCACTGCTGGATCTGCTGCTCATTTCCCAAAACGCTCCCAGCAAGGCACAGCGGTGTCCATGGTGCTGGCTGTGATCCACCAGCTGAGATGGAAAGGTCACCAAGGATGCAGATGCCACCCTGCAGCAGCCCTGCTCCCTGGCACCACTCCTGCCCCAGGAGGGCCTTGTTTTACACAACACCTTGCAAACCACACCGTGGCCTTGCTGTGACTCATTAGGCTGCAGAGGTTTATTTTTCAAATGCCCAAACTGACACAAATGGGGTTAATCAGGTGCCCATGGGGCTGCACAGGGCTTAGGATCAGACTGTCCCTGACCTGAGTCTGTGGTACTGAATTAAAACAGGATTTGGGATAATTTATTATTCCTGACAAACACATCAATGCAAAGACTGCTGCACTAGGAGCTGAACTTGCTTTCATTCCCTGTTTTTATGTGGAATTCCAGTGGCCTGAGAGCAGTGGAACAGCTTCCAGTGACCAGTGAGATGGGCTGGAGGGAGGCCAGTGACAAAGACAGAACTGAATGGTCCCCTGGGTTTGCTCAGATTCTTACAGCAGTGCAGTTCTCAGCTCACAGGGCTCAGGCTGTGCCCCAGTGGCCTCAACTCCCACATTTGCTTCCAGAGGAGAAAGAGGAGCTCTGCCCTGTGGAAACTGCACTGCAAACCCTCAGCCTGCCTTCTGGAGATGCCAGAAACATGGGATGGGTTGGGCTGACACCTTCCACTCTCCCAGCTCTTGCACTTACATTCCCCTGGCCGTCAGCTGCATCTCCCTCCTTGTCCTCTTCATCTGCCATGCTCTGCTGTATATGGGCAAAGAAAGGAAAGATTACTGATGAAAATCTGTTGTTTTGTTTTGAAGCTCCTGCTCTGATGATTGCTGGAATACACAGAACCATTTTTAGCTAGTAGGAAGGAGTTTATTATCTTCCCTATCTCCTGGCACAAAAAAAAAGTGGGACTGAAGACAGAAAGAGATAAACCCAGTACCTGGCTCTGTGGGCCAAGGGGGAAGTGCTGCCTCATGCTTCTTGTGTTATTGTGTCTGTGCTACAGAGAAAAGGACCAGAGAAGTGTAGAGTCATGCCCTGACCCACAATCAAATCAGGATCAAGGCTGAGAAGCAGCACTATGGATTTCTGTTTGGAATTCTGCATGGATTTCTCTTTAGATTAAACCCAGCAAGAATAAAAATATTAAGACACAAGAACTTCCAGTTCCAAAGTGTTTTATGGAGGGCAGATCAAAATGTGCTCCTAAACCACAGCTGTAAATATCAGTGTCTGATAACTGAGACCTTTTTTCTTATCTTTTAAAAGCTCAGGCTGCAGAAAACCCCGTTCCAGCTGTGACACCACTGGGCACTGTTCAGTGACAGCCCTATTTTATTTATAAATAACTTGCATTTTATTTATAAATCACTTGCTGAGATTGTCTCACAGGTACATGAAGCAACTGCAGGTCCATTCCTGACAGACACCCTGCAGTTTCACAGGTGATTTTTCCTCACTTTCCAAGGACAACTGCTCCAAACCAGGGCTGGGCATTCCCACCAGGAGTGCAGAAGGACAGATGTCCCTCACCACAAAACCACAACAGCAAGGCAGAGCTGCACAGCACATACCTGCTCCTTCAGGTTTTCCAGCAACGTTTCTATTTTCAGTTTGTCTTCTTTCACTTTTTCCAACTCAGCCTCTCTCTTCTTGTACTCCTCTTGGACTTTCAAAAGATGCTGGAAGAGAAAAGATAAACTCCTAACCTGCCTTCCACCAACTATTGTTCCAAGACCATAAAATTTAGAAGGGCTTTTCCATGAAGACCAGACAGACCACATTTAAAGTATAACACAAGAAGGATCCACAGTTTAGCTTAGAAATGCCTTGATCCATTAGCACAGAAAAGAGCACATTTGGGGAAACATGGGGCAGTAATTCCATCCCCAGTGGATGGGATTTCCCACTTCCCAACTCAGCTGGTTATGGGCAGAGTTGGTACTTTGGAAGTCACAGTAAAGCTCACAAGGAATCCATTAGCTATGGATTGCTTCCATGGGATTTATCAGCTCACACATAATCCCTGGTATCAATATTTGCTTTGGGTTTGTTTTAACAACACTGGACACAACAAAGTTGCTCCCCCCTGGCAGTTTGGATCCTGCTAAAATCCAGAGTGTTTTTCCACGCGTTTCTGCCACCCATCCCAGCCTCTTTCCCCTGCAGCACGGCCCCAGCTGTGGAAAATTCCAGGCCCACCTTCTGCATGCCCTGCAGAGCCTGCTGGAGGAGCTTCATCTGCTGCTCCTTGGTGGTGTCCTCATCCCTGGAGGCCTTGCCCTGCTCCTGTTTGAGCAGCTCCACCTCGTTGCGGTAGGCATCCAGCTGCCAGCGCAGGCTGTCGTTCTCCTCCTTCAGCGCCTCCACCTGTGTCACCAGTGCTGGGGACACACAGCAATCACACCCCTGAGAGCAGGGAACCCTCTGCTCCCCCCACCCTGCACAGGGGCTCAGCACCCGAAGGAATGGCTCCCTTTTTGGGGTATCACAGGGCTGGAGCCCCTCTGCTCTGCAGCCAGCCTGGGAGAGCTGGGAATGTTCACCTGGAGAGGAGAAGCTCCAGGGAGAGCTCAGAGCCCCTTGCAGGGCCTGAAGGGGCTTCAGGAGAGCTGGAGAGGGACTGGGGGACAAGGGATGGAGGGACAGGACAAGGCTTCCCCCTGCCAGAAAGAAACCACTGTTATGAGCTTTAAAAAAGGGATTTTACCTGACTCTTCTGTTTCCTTCATCTCTGATGGATCTTCTATTTCTTCATCAGACATTTCCATCTCCTCCTCTCTCCGGATGCCCATCAGCTCATCATTGTGGATGTTCCGGATCTCCTGGGGTGCACAAAGCAGAGGGGGTTTCAGTACACATTTGGAGGAACAGGTTGGCTGGGTGAAAAGTTCCTGCAATCTAGGTCTGCAAAACACAAGTCCAGGACATGATTTAAAAACTGGCACAGATTTTTAGATCAAGGGCAATATCCAGCACGAGTCACTCTGTCAGTGCTACTGGGATTACTGACTCTTCCACCTCCCTCCTGCTCTTGTGACGAGGCACCTCAGCCTTGCTGTGCAAACCACAAGGAACTGGAGTCAGCCCTAATCCTCTGGAGCCAAAATATCCCAACCTGAGCCGGGACAGAGCAAACCAAGCTACAGCTGCACCCCTGCATGTATAGGCACCTCCTCAAGGTCACCCCAAAAGGCTGAGAGACCCTTTAGCCAGCATCTGATATCTACAGTGAGGCAAGAGACAATTTAAATTACACCTAAAAATGTACCATGTACTAGCAGCATTTTTATAAATAAAAAGCATCTGCCAAACTCTGTACCAAGAAGCTGCACCTTGTGGCTTCCACCTTCCTTCCAGAGCAGTCCCTAAGCTGGGGGAGAGCAGCAGACCCAGCCTGGCAGCTGAAGTGCTCCTGAAAGAGGCCTCACAGTGGTCTCACAGCCTCTTCCCACTGGGAGAACTTACCTTGGAATACAAGACAGCTCCAAGTGGAGAGAGAGCTCCCACCCCAGCCACAGCCAGAGATCAGAAGGCGGGGAAGAACAGCAGCACCGGGCTCAGAGTCAATCTGAATCAGATTGCACTTGGCATCTCAGGTGCAAAAGAAACCTTGGCTCTCTTTTAGCTGCTACAGAGGTTTGACTCAGTGGGACCTGGCAAGTTCCAGAGGTACATCCTCATGGGGAGATCCCAGCTGGAAACTTCCCAGCACACTGGGGGCATTTAGAGTGCTGCAGTGTGGTGGGGGATCAGCCACCTGCTCAGAACCAGCAGGGCCCTGCCTGGGCAGGATCCAGAGTCTTCCCAGGCTGCAGCTCTACAGGAAGGTGTCCTGGACACCCCAATCCATGGAGATCACAGGCCAGGACACCCCAATCCACAGGGATCACAGGCCAGAACACCCCAATCCATGGGGATCACAGGCCAGGACACCCCAATCCATGGGGATCACAGGCCAGGACACCCCAATCCACAGGGATCACAGGTCTGGACACCCCAATCCATGGGGATCACAGGTCTGGACACGCCAATCCATGGGGATCACAGGCCAGGATCACCTCCAGCCCACAGGGATCCCTGGCCTGTGGATGGATCAGCAGCCTCTCAGCTTTGCTGAGATTCACTCTGGATGTTAAATGATCTTGTCAAGGTGAAAGACAACTCCTGGTTTTGCTGGGATAGATTTGCTTTCCAAGTTTGTGGTGAGTAGCTCGATATCCCAGACAAATCCAGAACCACTGGGAGATTTACACTGGGGGTAAGGCATGACAGCCAAGGGAGACAAAACCTCACGAGACTCAACAAGGCCCAGGACAAACATCTCCCCACCCATCACTTCGCAGTGGACACCCTTTCTTTACCTCAGCTTCCCTATTTCTGACATTCTGCCTGACTCCCTCAGCTGATTTTATCAAATCTTACTGGACTGAGAACTCTTTTTCCTCCTGCAGGAAGAGCAGTGGGAGCTACAAGCTTCCTTCCATCAGCTCCTTCCTGATCACCATCACATTTCACCATGTCACTTCATGGGATAAACACACAAACATGACAACACGCTCCCTTAAGCCTTCCAGGCTGTTCCCCTGCAATTATTTCCACCTCTCAAGGTGGAAATATCACATAAAAATGTGATAAAAAGAGTCTGATGAAACTCAGAGTTGTTGTTTTTATAACATCTCCTAGAAATCCTTCTTGCTTCAATATTAAAACCAGCAGAAAAATCAACATTTCTTATCATTATCATGACTATTATTGTGCACAGCTTCCATCAGCAGACAGGTCTCGATGTATTGCTTCTGGTGACACAAATACCAAGAGAAAATTCATTACCTGTACCACGAGAGCCTCCTGAGTGATCCCACCTCACACTGTGAAGGAAGGTGTTGTTATCCACGCGAGCATCGTGCAAACTCAACATCAACATCCTGACAAGCAAGAGACCGTGCTGGAGGATCTAACACAAGAAAAGATTACCAACCTCTGCTTGTTTGCACCACACGCTGATGTTCTTACGCTGAGCTTTCGTGAAATGGTCCCAAGCCTTTTGTTTGGAGGCAGAATGGTACACGGCCACTATCTGCTCGACTGGAGTGGCAAATCAGCAGCAAATCGGGCCCGAATAGCATCCAGAGAGGGCGAACAAGAGGAGTAAAGGAGTAAAAAAGTGCAATCAGGCAGGTGGTTTGGCTCCCCTTTTCTCATAACACTGCACTGTGCTGATGCTACGCTCAGGGAAGGGGCTCAGTGTGTATAAAGAGCCTGGTGGCTTCACCAGACCAGTGCCAAACACTCAGAGCAACGACCAACGGGGCCACCGGCTCTGCTCTCAGCTGGGAAAAACGCAGGACACGTGGAAAAAAGGCAGCCCAGGTGCTGAAAAATATCCAAATACGCTGTGTGAGCTGTCTGGGAGTGTGAGTTCAGAGGGCAGGACTCACCTCTGAAATGGGGTGATGGGCTGTGAGCAGGAGTGGGCCTTTGGGCAGTGCCACAGCCTGTGTGAGCTACAGGAGCAGGAGCAAAGCAAAGGCACCAGCCACCAGCCTTTCTTGCTCCTGGCATTTATTCCTCCTGCTTCTCTAGAAAATCAGAGGATTTGGAATACACAAAGTACTTCTCCTTGGCTGAGAGCTTACCCACAGCACAAAGCACATCCACTTGATTTTTTCTATGCTTGTGATGCAGTACCCATAATTCTCAACAAATATACACACATCCCTGCCACTTTACTTAGAGTAACCTGAGAGTGGCTGAGATATCAGCCCTGGTTTTAGAGAGTGGAGTTACACACTGGTCTCTATTTCTACTTACTCTGCAGTGCTCACTGTATGTCCCTCTGGACCATGCGCCCATAGTTTTTACCATTAACAGAATTTAAAGAAAAATAATAATCTAAAAAATCAAGTAACAGCTAAAATCATTATATACAAAACCAAAAGTTAAGAATGTTCAAAAGCTAGGCAAGGGGCTCAAGGAGAATTAGTACAATTGTGGAGAAGCTACTTGTAAAGAAGTAAAAATATTCCGATTTACTAATGCAAGGATGTATAAGAGGCAAGGAACTGTTGCAAATCACATCCTGAAATTAATACAGTCCATGCCTCTTCCTTGATTTCCTGCTTTTATAAAGTACTGGGATCTGAAAGACCCAGGGTCTGCACTAGGGCTGGAAGCACTCTGCTGCTCCTACCTTTGGCGAACAAATCCTGCACACTTCGCTGAGGCACCAGATTCCCAGGAACTTACCTTGGCCGTGCACAGGAGGGATGAAAGGATGACACAACACTAACAGGTGATAATTAAGAATAAAGGAGCTCAGAATCCATTCTCTCCTCCCCCCAGATGTGGACTCTTCCTCCAGTAAGAAGCTCCACAGGGGATTTTTGCCAGGTTAGTGCCACACGACTCCACATCAGCTGGAGCTGCACAGAAGCGGTTGTTACCACTTCTTCCCCTCTCCAGACTCTGCAAATTAAGCCATCCCTACACCAGACAACGGACATCCAGCGTGGAGACACTACTCACACTGCACCAGGATCCCTGAGAGAGCCAGTTTGAACTTCTCTTTAGCCTCCTCCATCTCCTTCTCATGAGCCGCCTTCTCGTTGACGAGCCTGCGGATGTGGCTGTTGGCTGACTGGATCATGGAGTAGAAGTTGTTGGCAGTTCTCCTGTTCACTTCCCCACGTTCTATCCAGGTCAGCAAGGTCTGGATGGCTTCCAAGAACTTGGTGTCATCTGCAGCAAGAAAGGACAACTTTGCACTTCAGCTCTGGGGTGGCTTGGGCAGCTTTCAGGACCTTTCCCTGGAGCTGAACTGCTCCTTCCGAGATCAGCGTCCTTCAGGTGACTCGTCACAACTCTGGGGAGCTGGGAAGGACCTGAACACGTGGCTGAACAAAGGAAGGCAAGTCCAGCACCAAGCTGATGGAGAAAATCCCCTGCTGAGGTGCAGCAAGAGGAGGAACGAGCACTAGAACTTACTGGAAAACTTTCTGTCTACTGAGATGGACCTTCTGTGAAAGGAAATGACCTCCAGCTCCAAAATCATCAGGTCATACATGAACCTCAGGCTTCCAACAAGGTCTTACATTAGTCCTTCCAACCTTAACCAAAATTACCTGGAAGAAACTTGTACTGAACAGTTTTGATTTGCACAAGTTTGCTGCACCCAATAGCTTTGCTCAGCCTTGGGAAAATCAGATTTAAGGGAGACCTCATCACTGTGTGTTACCGCTGAAGATGAACAGATCACACAGACACAGGTCGAGGTGTGCTGAAAGGAAGAGCAGAGTTTATTTTTCCTCCCAGGATTTATAGGTTTCCTACCACGGCCAGGGATTGCATGGTCAGGATAACACTTTCTCACTGCACTGGCCATGAGAGATGCCTATCACAAGATGTGGAACAGAAAGAATGTACACATATCTATGTTTGCAGTTCCTGTCCTGGGAAAGTCCTTAGAAAACTCTGTTAGCAAGCTCAGAAGCTGAGTTTTCAGGGCAACAACTGTGTCCTGGGTGGGGCTGTGAAGATGGAAACTCCTCTTTTAGAAGGGAGTCACGTGGAAAGGATGAGGGGGAACGGGTGCTCCTGGGGACAACTTTTCACAAAGGCAGCACTGTGAAAGTGCTGGGTTCCCCAACACCTCCAGGACTGGGCTGGGCAGAGCGTTGGGCCATCTGGTCTAGCCCAGCCCAGTGCTTTTGCCAAGAAAGGTCGGGCCAGGTGAGCCTTCAGGTCCTCTCCATCCCGAGATCCCATAGATACAATTCAACCTGGGGGTTTCTGGACAAAAAGCAGGAGGATGGCGACAGAGCTGCTGAAAACAAAGCTGTGCCTGCCCAGCCCCTCTCACCTTTGAGCTTCTCGGCCACCACGCTGCACTCGTGGTCGGAGTAGTGGACGACGGGCGGCGGGGAGGGCGGGCGGAAGCGCTCCTCGGCCAGGCGGCGCCAGTGGCGCTCCTCGCGCGCCAGCATGCGCTGCTTGCACTCCCACTCGTACAGGTCATCCCTGGCCTGGGCAAAGTCCACGTGCAGCCGCCCCGTGTCCTTCTTGTCCGTGCTGGAGCCCAGCCGGATGCGGTAGCCTGCGGGAGGGAGGGGCAGGGGCACTCACCTGGGGCTCCCGTGGCTAAAGGAGCCCAGAGGGCTCGGCCCCGATGGCTAACGGGGAAAAATCCTACCAAGGCAATCCCACCAGCCAAATAAACCAACCACCAACCAAATAAAACTCCACAAGCCAAATAAAACCCCACCAGCCAAATAAAACCCCACTAACCAATCCCACCAGCCAAATAAAACCCCACCAACCAACCCCACCAGCCAAATAAAACCCCACTAACCAAATAAAACCCCACTAACCAAATGAAACCCCACTAACCAATCCCACCAGCCAATTAAAACCCCACCAGCCAAATAAAACCCCACTAAGGCAACCCCACCAGCCAAATAAAACTCCACCAAGACAACCCTCCCACCAACCAAATATAACCTCACCAACCAAAAACCCCACTAAGGCAACCCCACCAGCCAAATAAAACCTCACTAACCAATCCCACCAGCCAAATAAAACCCCACTAAGGCAAGCCCATCAGCCAAATAAAACCCCACCAACCAAGTAAAACCCCACTAACCAACCCCACCAGCCAAATAAAACTCCACCAGCCAAGTAAAACCCCACTAACCAATCCCACCAGCCAAATAAAACCCCACCAGCCAAGTATAACCCCACTAACCAATCCCACCAGCCAAATAAAACCCCACTAAGGCAGGCCCATCAGCCAAGTAAGTCCAGCCCACCAGTCCAATTTTTTTTTTGGCACTATCTTTAGAATTAGCTGGACACTTGTCCATGTAAGATGGGAACAGACTCTGCACCTCAGCCCAATGTTTTGTATCTGTTTTCAGGTGACAAAGCATCGCTGCCTTTCTCTCAGGAGCTGTTTTCATATATTTAAGTAGGAATGCAATGGCAGCAGAAGGCAAACTGACACAGCATCAGAGAAATCTGCCCCAAATTCTGTTGTTCTGCCTTTAAGGGCACCACAACAGCTCTGCCCCAGAATTTTAAGCTTCCCTCTCAGGCAAACACACCCACCAGACAGGTAAAGTGCCTTGTCCACCATGAACTCCTCAGCAAAGCGGATGTGGCAGAAGTTCTTCTTGCTCTTGCGGATAGCTATGACCTCCCCACACTGCTCAAACACCTCCATGATGATCTGCTCCGTCCCATTTTCCGGCAGGCCTCCCACAAACACGGTCTTGCACCCTGGGGGCCTCTCTCTCGTGGCTGGAGGGGGAAGATCTGGAGAGAGAGCAGAGCAGGTCAGGTTTTGGGTTGCCAGCACACATTCCTTCCACCTGAGGGATGACCACACCTTCCTGGCCTCCTCCAAACACACACCTGGCTATGCCACGCTCACATTTGTGGGGTGGATCCCCAGCTCTGCTGAGGTGCTGGATAAAAATAACCACATTCACCAGCATGTTTCCAAAAAGAAGATCTTGTGAGCATGGAGCCCTCTAAACACTCCCCTGAGCTGCTCTCAAAGAACACAAGCAGCACCAGGAGCTCCCAACTTCATCATGGAAGGTGCTACAAAATCACAGCTTAAAAAACTGCCCTGATGCAAATAACCCATAAAAAACATACTCAGGGGATTCCCTGTGCTGCAGCTGCAGATTTGTGTGCTTGAGCTACACCCCACACTACACACGAGCATCAAACCATGAGGACTTCAAACACTCAGTGACTGGAGCAGCTCTCTCCCCAGTCCTTATCAATCTAGCAGCTGAAAAGGCAAACACTCAGTGACAGGAACAGGCTTTTCCTGCTGCTCTGTCACCCTCTGGCCAGCAGTGAGTCCAGGAATGGCCCTTTTGTCACCCACACCTGGGGTTTGCATGAACAAGCACAGGGATACCCTGCAGAGACAGCACAAGCAGACAGTTACGTGGGTTGGGTGGGAACAGAGTGCAGCTCTTGCAGTGGATGATCTCCTTCACGGCCGGCATGTCCGGAGGGATGGGAGGTGGGACAATCCCCAGGCCTGGCATCATGGGGTTGATTGGAGGGATTCCAGTCATCATTCCAAGAGCAGGATCAAAATCTAAATGGGGGAGAGAAAAAGGGAGTCAAGTGGGGGAGTGGAGTCACACAGTGACTGGGAGCTCTGACAGCAAACGGGGAACGCTCCCACGTGTGTCGCTGAAAATCAGGAAATGTGCCAACATCAAACTTTACATCTGTGCCCTCAAAGTAATGTTTTAAAGCTATTTCAATTCTCATTGCCACAGTCAAGTTACTTTTCTCTGTTAAAGTAAATTACTTCCTTCTCTCCTCTGTAAACACTGGCTCCCATCTAGTGTCCAACCCTTCCCAGAGAGGATTCTCCACAAAAGGACACCTGGGACATTTGGGAGCAGTGGAAAACCTGACTCAGCTTGGTTGTATGAAGTAGTTCAGCAGCACAGACAGTTGTGACACAGGCTTAAGGGCATTAGGAAGAATTTGTATGTGGAAAAGGTTGTCAGGCATTGGAAGGAGTGGAGTCCCCAGCCCTGGAGGTGGCACTCAGTGCTCTGGGCTGGTGACAAGGTGGGGATCAGTCACAGGTGGGACTCAATGACCCTGGAGGTCTTTTCCAGCCTGAATGGTTCTGGGATTGAGGGCATCATCTCACCAAGCAGACAAGTGCAGCAATTGCAGTAGCTAAGGACCTGCCACAGCAGCCACAGCAGAAACACGGATCTGAGCCAGTCCTCTGCCACCAACCGGCATTTTTGGAGGAAGGGACAAGAAACCTTCCTGTTCCAACTGTGAAATGTGGATGTAGGAGTACATGGGAATTGTATCCTTATCCTGGGATAGGCTTGTGTTGATTTTTCCTTCATGGAAGCATGTCAGCAGGAGAATGACACAGAAACACCATTTCCACAGCAAAGCCAAATGTGAAACAAGGCCTTGGGGACAGGAGAGAACTTTCTCTGTCACTGCTGAGAGAGCTGGGGCTGTTCAGACTGGAGGAGAAAGGTTGTGCTGTCTGCCAACACAGACATTCCCTCCCCAGGTGAGCAGGCAGGTCCTTATGGCAGGGAGAGTTCTCAATGCAGCAAAGCACTGAACAGTCAGTTCCATTCAGGACTTTGATGTCCAGCATCCTGCACTGCTGGGAAATCAGGCACAGCTCAGCTCTGCTCCTGCAGGAGCTCTTTCATCCAGACCAAGGTGACTCAGCCATGCAAATGTATCTCACACTGCAAGGTGGTCACTTCTGGAGCAGAATCCTCCATTAATTTCTGACATATCCGTTTTGCTATCCCTTTGCTTTCCTCTTCACCTTCCTCCCATCCTTCCTTACCAGCCAGTTCAGTTTAGAGTAACAAGTTCCTGGCTATCACTGGTTTCCTGACCTCAGTGTGGCACTCTCCTCCTCCTGCTCCCCTGCAGGACACCTGGGGGTACCCCACAATCACAATTATTTGCATTCAAAAGTGTGTATTCTCATCTCCTCTCAGTTCAGGCCTCTAAATAAATGAGGTGCAGAATGCATTTCAAACACAGCTGAGTGCTGGGAGCTCAGCCCAGCCCAGTGCTCCAGGCTGTTCCCAAGGAGCTGGGAGCTGCATCCCCACAGCTGCATCCCCACAGCTGCATCCCCACAGCTGCATCCCCACAGCTCACCAGGCAGGAGGGGCTGGCCTGTCATGCCCATGGGAGCCATGCCCAGGTTGTTCATGGCGGTGGCCCAGGCGCTCGGGTCGGACATTGGCAGTCCCATCGGAACAGAGTCCAGGCTCAGATTTCTGCCACCATCTGTGGAGAGGAACACAAGTGATTAAGGGCTTAGAGCAGATCTCAGCTCTGCCCAGCGAGGCTCTGCAGTGTCAGCACCCAAAACCAGAGCTAAAGCCACTCTCAGGGAAGAGCCAGGAAAAAAAACAACCTGAAAGCACCTCAGTTATGGCTCACCCACTGCAACTGACAGCTCTAAGGGGCCTTGAAGGACCCTGATTAAAGGTAAGGGGATGCTGATTCCCCACAAGAGATTTAGGAGCAAAGGACACAACTGCCAGACCTCACTGAACTGAAGGGAGCTGTCCCAGCAGGATCCTCCCACTGCCAGCGTTCTCCCAGCTCATCAAAACCAGCACTGAACGGTGCTGTCAAGTCCCTGACCCTCCTCCAAGGATTTTTACCTCTCAGTTGGACCTTCTCTCTACCCTGCTGCATTTCACCCTCTCTCTGCAGCTGTGGGCTTTGCACATCACCTTCCTTCTGCCTCATCCTTCCCCACTACACCTGGAACCTCCCCAGGGAAGTTCCTGACTCACTCCCACACTGCTCATCCCAACCCATGGCACAAGCAGGCACCACATTTCCCCAGTCACAGTGCTGGGATTGCAGTTTTCAGCCACAAAAATGGGTAAGACACTTGTTTTTTTTTATGTAGAACAGTTAAATTTTTATTTACCATAGTTTATATTACTATTAGAAAGTCCTGTGTTTTATTTTAATTGGTTAGTAATTTATTGAAATTTAGTTTATTGGTTGGTAATGGATAGTGTACATGTTTATAAAAATTTTTATATGTTTACATTTTTGTTTATTGGGAAGTGGACATTTTGCATGGGTAGAATTTTCTTTTTTACAGGTGTGAGTTGTTTTTTTACAAGAATAGATTGTTGTGTAAACTGATTTTCATTTTTATAGTTCTTTTCTCATGGGACATTATCAGGCTAGCTGTCAGCTTAGCTGAAGTAACAAGGCCTTTTATAAGGCCTTTCTTTCCTAAGGTTTTACCTATTGTAACAGTTTTCCTGCAAAACTCCTTGACCTGACATTACAATGTCATACACTTCATTTAACACTTTGTTTTTATGACATTATCTTAAATGTGAATGTCTCCAGTCATTCAGCCTGAGCTGCCTTATCCTGCTTTTAATTAACCATCATGATTTTAATCTTGAGGTTCTGTTCAATTAGGAAAATAAATCTATTGGGACAAGTATAGAGAACCACAGAAGGGTTTGGGTTGGAAGGGACATGAAAACCCATCCAGAGCCACCCCAGCCATGGCAGGGACACCTCCCACTGTCCCAGGCTGCTCCAGCCCCAATGTCCAGCCTGGCCTGGGACATTCCAGGGATCCAGGGGCTGCTCTGGGCACCTGTGCCAGGGCCTGCCCACCCTGCCAGGAACAATTCCTGCCCAAAATCCCATCCAGCCCTGCCCTCTGGCACTGGGAGCCATTCCCCACTGCTCTACCCCAGAGCCCAAGCCTGGCTCCAGGCACAGTGGTGGGACTCAGCAGCAGCAGAGCACAGCCCCTCCTGCCCAGCCTCAGGACTGTGTCCTGCCAGCAGTGGAGCTCACCTGGGGGAATGCTGCTCCTCTTCCTCTTCCCCGGGTCACTTCCATCCTCAGCCGGGCTCTCAAGCCCGAGGGACTCAGTGCTGGCAGGGTCAAAGGACAGGTGGTTTAAACCTGAAAGAGAAAAGCACACTTGGAGACTTGACTTACACTGGTTTGTGATGCTTCTGGATCACTGGAGTGAGAGAAATGCCCAGTTCCAGGCACAAGCAGCACACCAGGCCCTGAAGGAATCCTGACTCCTGGCCCCAGCTCTGCCTGATCTGAATGTTACACAATAAAATATTACTCACCAGCATCAATTCCACCACCCACACAAACCAAACTGCCTGCCAGAGTAAGCCAGGGGCACATCTTCCCTGGGTTGAGCAGCATTTCAAGGCTGGAAACTCAAAGGACAGGATTTTCCCCTGTTTCTTCAGTCCAGGAATACATTGTTAGGAGCTACTCAAGTCTCACCAGCTGAGAATTCACCTGGAGTGATTTACTACCAAAAAACAAGGCACAACTGAGAACATCTTCAAAACAAGAAGATGCTGCTGGAATTTTTGTTCAAGGAGTCTGGCACACAGCTGCTCCTGGTCACGGATGTGAAAGGGGCTGTGGGATGCAGATCCCACAAAGGGGAGCTCCAGAGCTGCACCCTCCTGTCAGGGAGAGCAAGAAGGTCTCCTGTGAGCCTCCTTTCTCCAGCCTGAAGAGATGGGTCCAGGGCCCTGAACTCACCATTGAGTTCCTCCCTCCACCTTCTGTCACAGTCAGCACTTGCAGGGATGCAAGACCAAAGCAGCATTGAAATACTGAGTTTGTCTCAGCAAATTCACCCTGAACAGCCAATATGGAAAAAAATAGAAAAAAAAACCAAACAAATCTTTTCTGTGGACCCATATAAAGTGATAAAAACAAGCACATTTCTAAGGTGCTCTGTGTTCCCAGGGGAGTCAGCAGAACCATGACAATCATCCCATGCCAGGGCACTGATGGGCTGAGGCATTTGTAGCAAACCTTCCTCCAGACCCTCTGCAGCGCTGCCATTTCTGTTCCAGAGGATCCCACTTCCAAGAACTTCATAAACATGGCTCTTGGGGCTGGCTGTAAATAGCCAAGTGGGAGCCTGGAGGGCTCCTCTCCCAGCCACTGAAAGGTGAGAACGCAAGAAGCAGCCAAAAAACCAAGGACTATTCAGCTGGCAACAACAATAGTCACGCCCGGCCATGCAGGATGCCTACAATGCTGTGGCTTAAATATTCCAAAGTCAAAATATCATGGAGGTCATAAGGGCTCAGGAAAACAAATCTGAATGCAGTAGGTTAAAAATAGAGAGCTTGTGCACAGGGAAGACAGCAGGAGAAAGGAAAAGGAGCGGTTCTAATATTATATTGGCATTATCCATGAGATCGAAAAGGCAGAATTGAACAAGTTTTCCCACATTTGGGAATGGGGAAGGATGGAGAGAAGCAGCAGGACAGCCAGACCCTGGTGTCACAGGATGGACAGACACCCTGCTCTGAACACAACACTGGGGAGACACCTGGCACTGAGCAGCAGCTGAATGGACACTGCTCCAGCACTGCTTCCCAGCCCGCTGGGGAACACAGGCAGACACTCACCCCGAGGATTTCCAGCCCCAGCTTGAGCTGGGATGCTCAAATGTCCCAGCATGTCCCCAGGGCCAGAAACAAAGCAGCCATCAGCTGGAAGGCTCTGGGTGGAGACACTTGTGTGACCTGCAGCAGGAGCCGTGTCCTCAGGACCAGCTACCATCCAGCAGAACCTAACAACAAACGCGGAGCAGAAAAGCCACGGGGAAAGCTCTGCTCTCACTTCATCAGGATGGAGAACCAGAAAATGTCCCAGGAAAGCAAAGGGCAGTATGGAAAGTGGGAGATGGAATCTGTAAGAAAGGGACCTTGTTGCAGCTCTCTTGCAGCACAGTTTGCTCCAAAAATTAATACAAGCCACAGAGAAGATTCCCAGCACAATCTGGAGTAAGAAACCCCTCATTATGAAACCCCTCATTATGTCAGATTTGCCCCCCTACACAGGATAAATGCCATGGACTGCACAAACCCACTTGCCTCTCTCCTGTCATCCCAGCGAGCAGCCAGAGCTCCAGCCACACCCTCTGGGTACAGAGAACTCAGAGAGCTGAAGCTGCAGAAAATCCTCTCTCCTGGGCTCTGAGCAGGATAAAAGCTGAAAGGCTCGACCAGTGCAGCCAGGAGGCACAAACAGGAGCATCTCTCTGTCCTTTGTGCCAACCACAATGAGGTGTCCTTGGCCATTCCAAGCTGCTCTGCTCAAGAGGGAAGGCACCAGCACAGGAGCAAACCACAGGGGTTTGTTAAGTGAGCTAGCCTGGGCCTTGGTTTGAAAAGAAAAATGTTTGCTAAGGGAGGCAGGAGCCTCCCTTGAAATGGAAAATGTACACCCCCTCCCTCTGAATTATTATAATTTTGAAATTAAGGGGCTCTCAGGCAAAGATACGGGAGTAGGAATAACAGTTCTTTACTAGGATGTATAAATAATAAAAAAAACCCTACAACTTAATAGGGAAATGAAAATAAAAATACAATAGTACAAAAAGCACTGCCAGTCAGAATCCAATGTGATACTCTGCTGGGCAGGGTGTTGGTGGCAGTGGGGTTAAACGGTGGCTGCAGCCCTGGAGTGCCAGATGTGGCTCTGGTGAAGCTGTGACCCTGCAGAAGGGGGCAGTTCCCCTCTGAAGGTCCAGGGCTGCTGTAGATGGGTCCTGTTTTCCTCTGGGAATCCACCAGTGGAAAAAAGGCTGCCTGTGGTGTTCCAAAGCTCAGATTGTATCCAGGTATGTATGCCTGGCTCCTCCCCTGGCTGGAGCATCTCCCAGTGGGATGATGGAATTTTCTCACTCCTGCAGTGAGACCCAAGGGATCATCAAGAGCAGAGATCCCCCTGGAGGGAGGATGGGTCCTGGAAGGGATAAAGAACACTGCCCCAGCTGGTTTTAGCAGCTGGTGATAGACTACATCCCTCTGGCTACACCTTGCATTGCAACCCAAGACACCTGGAAAGGCCAAAATCAGATTTCTGCATTTGCTGGGAAATGCTACACAGAAGGTAAGGGGGGAGGAGATCTGGGCTTCTAGCAAGTGTCAGAACTGGTGTCAGCACTTCCAGAGCCATATGTGGCACAGGTGTCAGTGTGCCCTTCCTCTCCCTGTTCCTATCTGCAGGGATTTTCAGAGGACTCCATTTTTAAGAGTGAGACATGAGGCGCTGCCATAATGCAGTGACTAAACATTTAAAAATAAAAACTTGGGCTAGGAGATTCGTCAGCAGAAAAACAGATCAGGGAAAGAAGGGGGGATGCTGAAAGATGAGCAGAAGGCAACTCTGAGCAAGGCCTCTCCCACAGCACAGCAGGTCCTCGTGGGTGGTTTTCCCCTCTGGAAATAGGTGCTGAGCTGTGATGGGAAGAGTCCACAGCTTCCCACTGGTCTAAGCAGCACTGCCAATGCACAGCCCCCCGTCCCACGGGGCTGGGATCAGCCCAGGTCTGTGCTGGGGCTAAAATCAGCTGCAGCTTCCACAGCACAGCTTCAGAGAGGGGCTGGGGAGAGAGGAGAGATCTCAATGTTCCAGGCATAAATCTAGGGAAGTATCCATCCTCACTGGGTCTTGTGCCAGACCCAGGACAGGTCTTGGTTTTCCAATCCTGCTAACAGAGCTGGGCCATTTCCTTAATGACCAGGGGAAGAAGAAACCCCAAAAAGCCCCTGAGGCCAACTGAAAATCCCGTTTTAAGATCATTCCCAAGAGTTGGAAACACTGGAAATCACAACCAAAACGGGATTGTGCAGCTCCTGTGCAACACTCCTGGGACCACTTACAAACAAGCACGGGGCTGCCACCTCGGGATTTGGGCAAAACGTTCCCTGCTGGGTTCAGGAACATTCAGTTCAGTGGTGGCACGAGCTCTGCCACAAGCCTGGCACAGCTCTGGGGTGAAGCCTGGAGCTCCAGCTGCAGCCTCACTCTGCCCAGGCACTGCAACAGCTTTCCTGCCACCCAACCAGTTAATAAACAGCAGGAACATAAACCTCTGCCCCAAAACTCAAATTACAACTACTGCCAGCTACTCCGACACTGTCACACACATAAAAGCCTTTCAACGATACTCAGAAAGCCTGTGCAGGCTGCTGCCTGGCTGGTCGTGTTTTGGGGTGTGCTGGAACCCTCTCAACCACTCTGGGTCACACTTTGGGGTGTCCCAGGTCCCTCCAAACCCCTCAGGGATTTTGGGATCCCCTGGGCTCCTCTGAACACATATTAGACTTCTCTTACTGAGCATCAGGGGAACTCCAGAAATGGGCTGACACAGGCTTTACTATAAATATGGATTTACCTTTTGCCAACATCGGCAAATACAGGGAATAAGCAGTGCTCAGTCTGAGCAGGGTGCCTGTGGTTTTTGGAATAAACTGGAGTCTGGATACACTGTGCCATTGATTACACAGTGCCGGTTTTAAGCCCTCAAGAAATGAACTTGAGAAGACACCAAAGTACACCTGCAGCAACCAATTAGAACACAAGAGAAAACAGACCAACAGGGAAGGGAGAGGAGAGGGATACCAAAACTTTGAAGTTACGTTTTGATCCCAGTCATTTCCTTTTGGAAACTAATTCCCAGGTTCAAAAAACTACTGCTGGGCTCGTGCATGTTCCTCTAGCACAGTCCTGGCTTAATTATGACTGGTAGAGCTCCCCAAGCAGCAGTCTGAGCCGGGAGCTGGCCAGGCACACTGATGAGAGCAGCACAGTTCTGAGAGTGACCTCTGCCAGCTCCAGCTAATCCTGCAGGGCAGCCCAGACCCCCCCTGTGTTACCTGTGAACTGCACCAGGAACATGGCAAGATGCTCATCGTAAGGCAGGAGCTCACACAGCTCTCCCACTGCTCCCAGCTTGGCTTTGTGTCTGAAAATCCCGGTGCCAGGCTGAGCTCCCTCGCTCAGCCCCCAGCACCAGAGGAAAGCTGGGACCCAGTGACAGCAGAAGTGGCCCGGGGCAGGCAGGACAGCCCAGGCTGAGAGGCCAGGCTGGCACCCAGCAGCTCCACGTGTCACCATCCATCTCCTGTGACTGACACCCATAGGCACATGCCAGGATGCGGGGGACGGAGGCGGATGAGCAGGTGGGGAGGCAATTAACAGCCAGAGCGTCTGAATTTGCCAGGGATTTCATCCATCACTGCTCTAAGCACTGGCACGCAGCTCAATAAACCCTGTTTGCATGCCCGAGATTAGTGGCCTTTGCACTGAAAGATTAATTCCTGGTAATCCTTGATGGTAAGAGGCACGCTGCTTGCTTTCCTTGATTCTGGAAGCTTGTACTTGAAAGAAATAAATTAATTTCAGGCAGCTAATTATTCTAGCAGGGCTCTATAAAACCAAGAGACACAAAGAGCCCCTTCCTCCTTTGCACCCGAGAGCGCAGCGGTCAGCAACCCTAATCAGGGACACCAACCTGCAGAGTTTTCACAAAAATACAACCACAGCAGCAAAAATAGGGGGATTTGACCAAATCCTGTATGAGCTGTGCTCTTCACTCGATGTTGTAACCCAAAACAAAGGAAAAGCCTCCTTCCCAGCACGTGTGTACACACAGGTCACCAGCAGCGACCTCACACAGCCCTCAGTGCTTCCCAGCCAGGGAACCTGCCATGCCCACCACGCCAAATTATTGAAAATTCCATGGAATGCTTTCAGGATGCTCACAAGGCTCTGCCAAACCACCCTCCCTCTGCACACACTTCTAGGAATTCTAAGCCTGGGATTTTCAGAGGGTGAGCTGCTGCAGAGCAGGTGGCTGCAGGCAGCCCAGTCCCATCCCTTTCTGTCCTTCCAGACTCCTTCAGCACTCCTGAGAGCAACATCCAGCTCAAATGCCACCCCAGAACAATGCTCAACAGCTCCTCTTTTCAGAAATATCTGTTTGAAAACCCAGCAGAAGGAAGCTGATGGGCAAAGGGATGCAGGACTAACTACACAGAGCTACTGGGGAACAAAAAAAGGGGGAAGAAGAAAAAAAAAAAGAGGAGAAAAAAAAAGGGGAAGACACAAAGAAAACTCCAATAGAGCCAGCAGTCAGGATCATCAGAAACTCCCAGTGCTAAAGCTTGGGCTGATAGGCAAGAGAGCCTCGTGGAAAGCCAGCACCAGCGTGAGGAGCTGCTGGCTGAGAGCAGAGCAGCTGGATGGGATGGACATGATAGAACTGGAATAATGTCAGCAGAAAAGTTGGGGATTAAGGGAGAAATCTCACACCATCTTTGGAAGGTGTACAGAATACCTCAGTAGCAACACCTGATCTTTGCAGCGACTCAGTGATTGAACCTCATCCCTGCTACGAGCTCCAAACACATGACCTTCAACACAGAAACCTGACCTCACCCCAGCTCCCTCACAGCTTTCAACAACTCGGCTCAAGGGCCTTTTTAATTAGATCCTCAAAATTCCTCAAATGAGCCTTGAAGAAACAGAGAAGCCAAGCCCTTGGCTTCCAGCACAGGGAGGAGTACAGCTGGAGTAGGAAGGAACACGAGTTGGAAGGACAAACTCCTACCCCAGGCCACCTCCATCATTTCCCACCATCTCAGGGCTCTGCTTTCTGCAGGAGAATATGGAAAAATACAATGGCCAATTAATGTAACTCCAGGGAAGGTAAGGATGGTGTAGACTAACGAGGAGCTTACCCAAGGATTAATGTTTGTGTAACAAACACGTGGCACTAAAGAACAAAAACATCTCCCCGCAAGGACGGACGTTACTGGGTGCGGCACACAGCACCAAGACACGAGGAAAATCAGAGAGTAAAGCACATAAACTAAAGCAGCTCCATGTAAACGCTCAAGGAAGAAAAAAAACACATGTGCAGCTACAAGTTCCATTGCAGGGCTGTGGGAGAGCTGCAGCCCACGGCAGCTGTGGGCACCAGCAGCCCCAGAGCTCCACGTGCTGCCCACGGAGCGTCTGCTGTGGATCCAGCACAGCCCAGCCACACTGAGAGCCTGGCACAGAGCACAGCCAGGTGTGTCCCACCTCGGGGGAATGCTGCCACCTTCACCCCAGCCCTTCTGGAAACTCACTCTTGGACTTTATCATTTCTTTATATGCAGCCAATTTCTCCTCGTGCCGCTTTCGCTGTGCTAAAAATAATATTGCATTGTCTTTCATATTTATGTATTAATCTTTATGTGTTGTTATTGGTCATAACTATTTGGATATGGTAAAATTCGTAACTCCTTTCAGCTGTTCATTAGTATAACACAATCTATTAGTTTTGCACTGTATAGCCCATAGAAATAATCATGGGATTAATATATTATATAGGTTATATTATACTATAATATAATATAAATATATAATATAAATAATATGTAATAGATATAATAGAAAATAGAGGTAATAGAAAATAGAGGTAATAGAAAATAGAGATAATAGAAAATAGAGATAATAGAAAATAGAGATAATAGAAAATAGAGATAATAGAAAAGAGATAATAGAAAATAGAGATAATAGAAAATATAAATAGACAACAGATAATATAGACAATAGATAATATAGACAATAGATAATATTTATTTTATATATGAATATATTATATTTATGTATGCACCACATACCTTACAGAAATAAATATGACTATATTATACCTAGGTATACATCCTACAGCTTATAAAAACAGTGGTGTGATAAATGTATTACATTGTCAGCCTTAGCAAAACAGGAAATGTTAAAATGCTTCCATGTAACCAAGAGAGGGTGTGAAGCAATTATGTTGTTTTTCCCCCGTCTGACTGACCTCTCCAAGCAATAAGGTAACAGTGACAGAAAGCAGAGCGCCAGGGAAGAGTTGGAGAAGAACTTGTTAACTCCTCCTTATCAGGGAAGTGTGAAACAACAGGATGAAGGAATAAAATATATTGACCGGATCTACAGGATGTCGTGCAGATAAGTCAGCACGTAAGGTCAAACAAAAGAGTTTCTGCAACATCAAAACCTCCCAAGAACGTCTGAATAATGTATGAAACACATAAATATGTATAAACCTCTGCAATGTAACAATATATAGGTAACACTGTCTAAATCTGCCGGTGTGTTCTTTGGCCAATAGCCAGAAACAGCCCAGCGCTGGACACTGCTCCTTCTCATCCCCTCATTGAACCGTTCAAAACGCTGAAGAGCGAGCTGTTTTCACAACAGGATCACTGGGATTGAAAGAGACCCTCGAGATCACGCAGAGCCAGCAGCAATAACCCCTAAAACACATCCCCGAGTGCCCCTCGGACACTTCCAGGGCTGGTGCCTCCACCCCGAGCGATTCATTCCAAGGATTGGTGCTAATTCCTCACCTGAGCCTACCTTGGCACGAGCCGAGGCTGTTCCTTCTCCCCTGGAGCCAACACAAGGTCCCGACCTGCGGCTGAGCAGAGCCGGAGGGTTCCCCTGAGCCGAGTCCCTTTCCAGCTGCTCCTGGTGCCCCACGCCTTTCCCTGCGCACTCCCCATCCTTCCCGACATCATTTTAATCTTCTTTTTCAAGTGATTTTAGCTTCCGCTGAACCCAAACAGCGGCCCAGACACTTCCCGTATGGAATAAACTTTGGCACGCAGCCTCCGCAGCACCCAGACGGCCCCGGAGCGCTGCGGGTGTCCCCGCCGGGCTCCAGGAGCTCCCCCCGGGCTCCCCGAGCTCCCCC